GATCATGTTGGTGCGTGTACTGTGACAATGATAAGCTTAGATATGTGTCTACAATGAAATGGGGATGTGACCCCCATAGTGCATCTACGGGACAAGCTCCCCATGCTCATTCACTCAGGCGTTTACTCGGCGGTAGCGTATGCCGACTGTTCAGAACAACGGGGGGCCCCACCTGCTTCCCAAGTGACCGGAGCTCCAGGTGTAGGCGGTTCTTGACTTTCCATGCTACAGCATCTTCAGAATTTGACTTTTAAGGACATTTTATGCAATGATTCTGTTTGCTGTAGCGGCAAACGCATTTTTCTATTGTACTTATATGCAACAAAAATTGACATTTAAGGATCTGGAATACTTAGGACAGGGAAAGTAGAGGTGCCTTAGGATCAGACTTTTAGCTTTTCCTGGACCTTTTTCTTTTATAATCTCCTCATGTTGATTTTTTTTTTTTTCCTTCTTAACATCAGAACTTTACCATCACCCTCTTCTTCTCCCCCAAAAGAAAGCCAACCTGCTCCTGGAAAGAATTTAATACTGGTCATTTACACTTCTGTGTGAAATTGCTTCATAATAATGAACATTTGCGTTTACATTTTACAGTTTACGTAATAGTTTTGAAATACATCATCTAATTTAATTCTCAAAACAGATTTGAGAGATTACGAGCCCTGCTTACAAAGGAGTTATATTCTCAGAAGAATTCCATGGTTTTCTTACAGAACTTTTGTAGGAGACATGGGCCATCTACATTGTAAATTAACTCCTACTAATTTGTTTTTATTAAAATAATGGACAGGGCTGGCTTAACTGTTAAATACTTTTTGATAAATAATGGCAGCATTAGACACAACCTGATTACAAAGTTATAATAAAAGCAGATTTGGAATCAAATTCTGATGCTCATCACAGACATTTATTAAGTAAACATTTCTAAAAGTAGATATAAAACCATTGTTTGTAACCTCAAAGAAGTCCTGGCTCTGGAAGATACTAGGTGCTCCAATCTCACCTTATGTGAAGACAGATGTGGCAGTTTTAGAATGATAGGATTCTGTTACACGTAGTAACAACCAACCAACATCCTCTGAACCAAAGGCCGAGCACAGAGCCATTGAGCTCTCACACTCTGGGCACCATCCCTAAGGGTAGACCAGCCAATATGCTCACTCCGTATGTCCACCCTCCTTATGAAAGAGTGGAGAATATCTCCAATCCACAAATTCGAGCACTACCAGTTTCACCCGATTTCTAACATTTCTTTATGCTAATTGACAAGCCGTTCATTTCACTGAGGAAAACTCATTTCTTACCTTAATTATGCCAATTAGCAAAGCCTCAGGGGCCCTTGGAAGTTAAAGAGAGCTAAACTCCTGGAGGAAGAAAGCCACCCCACCGAGCGTGGGATTTCCGACCACGTCCTGGTTGACCACCCTTGGAGCGTATGTTCCCAGTGGAGATGGCTGTCTGTCTGTCCCTGGAATGTAATTTAAGCTAATTTCAGACACATACAGCTGCATTACATTGTCTGTGCCCAAGGATTTTAAAGTAAATGGCAGACATCCTGCCCAGCTGTTAGCTATTCTGGGAAGTCAGTCAGCAGGCAGGTATCATGTGCCATGCGGTTAGGGCTCCACCTGGAGGGTTAGCAGGGCAATCCAAAGCTTTCTCATGGATCTCTTAGCACCCTACTTTTTCTCTGATCTTTGAAAGTCCAGTTTGGTGGTTCTTTCATATCGTCCCGTTTTTTCCGGTGTTTTTTTGTTTGTTTGTTTTTTGTTTTTGTTTTTTTTTTTTACATTGGGGCATAGTTTATTCCAGAAAAGACTTTCCAGTCCATTTATTGGATGTGCATTTTATCTAAATCTGGAATCAGGTTCACGTTTTCTGAAGCACGGAGAAAAGTCTGGTCTTTCTTATCTTCAAAGGGAGCAATAAGCATTTGTTCGTTTAAAGAAGACATCTTTAATGATGTCAAGTCCAGACTCCTGCCAAAATCGGACAATAGGGTTTCCAGCCCATTTCCATTTACCTCGTGCAGTTACTGGCATCTTTAATCCCATCAGGCCTTCTTGCATGAAGGTAAATACTTCCTGCT